AGGAAGCAAATACTTCACTTTTCAAGTCACAGCCCATTTTAGTGCACTGACTGAGATAAGGAGCTGTTAAATATCTTTCTTTAACCTAAAAACAAAGAATCAGCAGTTTTCCATCACTACAGCTCACATTTCTATAGGGTTCCATTACCTTTGTTACACAGGATGGAGAAAGTAGGCAACATAGACAGCAGCAAAGCACTTCTTGTGATGTTTCCTTTCCAAGCATTCTGTTGACATTTATCAATGCTCTTTGGAAAAAAAACCTAATCACTTTAATTCACTTTCTTCTTCATGTATGGTACCCAACTTACTTCTCCAAAGCAACAGTGTGAAAGATTATTTCATCTTAAAAAAGCAATCAAACTAAACTGCCCTCTACTAACACCAAGTTCAGGAAAGCCGCATTTATTGTTGGTGAGATAAAGAAACCAAATCTGTGCTTCTCAGGTGTTTCCTATAATTACTTTAATAGGCAAGAAAAGTTCCCAGCAGGGCCTGGGGACCTCAAGACTACCAACCTTCTCAGCACAAGAGAAAACCTACATTAAAGGCACATCGGATTTCCTGGGAATAGGCCATTTTACTACTCGTTACGTTCTACAGAACTTTCCTTCTGTACAAGTGCCCAGTTACCACACTGACTATGATCTGACTGAACTGGTGGACCCAAAATGGCCAGCTCCAGGACCTAAATGGTTATATTTTGTGCCCTGGGGATTCAGAAGATTACTCAACTTCATTAAGGTGATTATAGAGTAAATCTTTAAAAGGAGGTGAACAAAATGCCTGGTTACATGCAGGAACTACACTTACACTGTTTTAGATTGTCAACTTTTTCACCTCCATGTGTCTGGTCATACTGGGAAGTTTCTTTGCCACCTTGATTTCAGTTCAGAAAACTACAGAATTGAGTAACTTCAAAATAAAAACACAGCTAACTTAAATTCCTACTTACACATTTACTTACCTTTAGGATGAAAATTCGAGTAAAATGCATAAAAAGTGATTTTCTAAGTCTTGTGTTCTGTATAGGATGATTTTGTTTATATGAACCAGCCTAAAACCATCTTTGTTTGCAGACACAGTACGGGAACCCTCTCATTTATGTGATAGAGAACGGAGTTTCAGATAAGATACAGTGTACTCAGCTATGTGATGAATGGAGGATAGAGTATCTGAAAGGATATATTAATGAAATACTCAAAGGTAACTTTAAAAACATCTTTTTAGCGTGTGAGCTTTTGAGTGTTTTCATCTTCTGATTATTTTTTACATCATAGAGAAATAAATACAGATCTAAGTGGACAAAGTAGACTAATAAATTTCCACAGAAATTAAAACCCAGCCAAATGTAGTGATGCTGATAAATATAATAGCCTACATGAGATTTAATACTGTAATAGATCATCAGTTTCCACTTTTAGAAAGGAGAAATTGCATCTACGAGCTTTGGTACCTCTAAGCTAAAGGAAGCATTTTCAAACAATCTAAACTACTTCACATTAACCATTTTCCTGTCCTCCTCCCCAGCTCCTTCTGGTATAAAACAAACCACCTACAGAACCAGATTTTAAGGATGACAAATTTAACAGAATCATTTCTATTCTGTTTACAGCTCTGAATGATGGTGTTAATGTCAAAGGCTACACTGCCTGGTCACTGCTGGATAAGTTTGAATGGAACAAAGGCTTCTCTGAGAGATTTGGATTTTATTGCATTGATTTCACAAAGAAGAACAAACCACGATACCCAAAAGCATCCGTTGACTATTATAAAAAGATTATCAGTGCGAATGGATTCCCAAACCCAAGACAGGTGATGTCAATTACTAGTTTTATTCTTGTCTCTTTCTCTTTGATATATGGGCAAATATCACCTAGAATTTTAGGAAACAACTTGCACAAATACAGTGCTTGAAACAACACTTCGGTTCTGTAAATTAGGGATGTGTTAAATACACAGACATCCAGAGACAAAGTGGAAACAGCCTCAAATACTGTTTCTAAAGCACTTCACAAACTCTAATGGGACTTACTGATGTGCTTTGAGATTTGTAATTATGTTACTATCAGATTTCTAGGCAGAGAATTACACATGTGCTGCCTTATCAGAATATGGAATATAATATGCACTTTAAAAACTTCTATTAAAGAATTAACTATAAAAATACATTGCAATAAAAATCACAAAGATAAACATAAACCTTCAGAAAATCCTGTGTTGACAGAATAAAATAGGTTTGAGGCAGTTGTAATGGGCAAATGCTCAGGGACAGAGAAGAAGCTGCTAAGAATGAAATAATCTTGCAGTCTAATCAAACTGCCACATGTCAACCTTCTCAGGTGGACAACTGGTATGGGGAAGCCATGGACTCCTGCTCCACCACACACCAGAGCCTCGCTACAGGTAATTGTACCTTCTGTTCTGTTTTAGAAGAGCATATCATATGATTTTCTAATTTTAGATTTCTCAGTAGAGTAACAGAATGTTTCTGTTATCAGACCCTAAAAGATATTTTCTCCCTGAAAGCACAACAGCTTTCAAATAAAATAAGCTTCTCAAGAAACATCTGCCTTTACTCTCTCACCATAGCTAAGTGGATCAACTTCAGATGTTAATAGAACACACAAATGAAGGAGTTACTATTTAAAATTAAGGCTGGGGATGACAGTATTCTCATTAAGATACTAAAAGTGCCAAATGCTCTTTCAAACAAACGAAACCCAGACAAATCAAGACAACCTTGCAGACAGAAAAATCTCTGAATCATAGAATCCACCAGTTTGGAAAAAGTCTTTAAGATCATCAAGTCCAACCATTACCCTAGGACTGCCAAGATCACCACTAAATCCTGTCACTACGGCCCTCATCTACATGTTTCATGAACGTTTCCAGGTATGGTGATTGGGCAGGCTGTTCTAATACCTGATCCCCCTCCTGGGCAAAAAAATTCTTCCTAATATTTCCTCTAGTCCTATCACTTGTTACTTAGGAGAAAAGACTCCCACTACATCCTCCTTTCAGGTATTTGTAGAGTGATAAGACCCCAAGTCTTCTCCAGACTAACCCCCCCAGTTCCTTCAGCTGTTCATCAGACTTATGCTCCAGACCTTTTACCACCTCTGTTGCCCTCACTTCCCTACTCCTGCTGCCAGACTATTTCTCATACAAGCCCGGGTGCTGTTGGCCTTTGTGGCTGCCTGGTCACATGGTGGCTTACGTTCAGCTCCATCAGGAGCCCCTGGTCACTTTCCACTGAGCAGCTTCTCCAGCCACTCTTCCCCCCGCCAGAAGCACTGCATGGGCAAAATAAGAGTATTGGAGGGCTGTTTCTGCCCGGTTTCGAACCGGGGACCTTTCGCGTGTGAGGCGAACGTGATAACCACTACACTACAGAAACCCACCACATTTGATTACTACATAAAACGGAACTATAAACAATGGGCTCAGGATTTGCCTAAAGTAGCGTCAAGCCACATTTCTGCTCTTTCATACTCCTGGTAACAAAGCTGACACCACTACAAGTTCCAGCAGCTGCTGAAGAATACCTACTGCAGCAGACATTCATTGCAGTTCCCACAGTGCTAATGCATCTCAGTCAAGACCTTCCCAGAGTAATTCAGGACCTTTCACAGTTCCTGAACTAGAATTAGTCTAGCACAGTGGGTTTCTCAAACTTTTAGGAAAGACTAAATAAGTACTATAAAGTCTCAGAAGGAGCATGAGATAAATTCCACATGCTAGAAAAGGTCAAAGCAATCACCCTGACTATATCCTACTTGGTCTCAGCTGCTGAGTTACACATTCTGTGTGAATTAACTGCTTAGTGACCTCCTGGAGGCTTATTTGTGGAGTAAAATACTACCAAGTAAAACCTGTTTGATTTTTTCAAAGAAAAAAAATCATGAAAAGGCTGAAGTACTTCCTGAGGATTTCTCTTTGACAACTTTTCTTCTACCTTTCCCTTGGTGTGGGGAGAACAAAAATCAAAGTTACAGTAGAATACTGCTAATGCACTGAAGCTAACTCATGGTAAGCACAGTATCTGCAGCCCTTTGAGTACTGCCATGACTTCAGAAATTAACTTTGAAATAAAAAGAGGGAAAACTATCATGGATTTGCTCCAGCTTTTGCAGACTTATGGAATTTTTTGCTTTGTTTTCTGTTTTTGTCAAAGTTAACATTTAACAAAGCAATTTTAACAATAAATGTTAAAAAAACCCTTGATTTGTTAACTGTATTAGTATACTCCAGTAGATTAAATGTCTTATATATTATTCATTCAAATTTTAGATTCCCTGATTGCTCAGATGGAAATGGCAACAGAGATTGTTCTTCCCACAGTTTTCACACTCTGCATACTCATCAGTATTGTCCTACTAATATTCTACCTTCGAAATCACAATTAAAGTTGCGTGCTTACACACACCTTCATTTTGCCTAATAAATAAGTGCAACTGGCTATTATACTGGTTAAAGTTTACCTCTTTTTCTACCACTGCAGAATGGAACATTAGGAAAGGGATAAGAGATAAAATTTACTGAGGATAAACCAGAAATTATAGAGATTTATAGATTTTAAGAATCATGAATATTGGGGACTCCTTACTCCTATTTGTCAATAATTTTTTTTGTGCAACACTTGTCTCTTATTATTTAATCAGCATATACTATACTACGTAATTGTTTCAAGTTACACTACCAAAATATCAAACTATCGACATAACACATGCAACTGTAATCCCAACATACTTCAATGCTTATGCCCAACCAACTATACTGAAGAAAACATGCAAAAGTATGCAAGAAAACAGTTAAAATAATTCTAGTTCATATTGAGGGGAAAAAATAATCTGGAGAGAGAAGTAACTCCAAGAATACTCCAATGTATAAATACAGGGACAAAGGAAACCTAACTGTCAGAAGTCCACACTGCCCTGAACAGCCTTCCAGATATACCTGGAGGATGAAATGTCACTTGACACCAGGAAAATGTGACAGTATTCCTTGTTCTGTTGGCTTAATTCACCCTTTGAACATTATCTGACTACATTCTTAAATAAAAATAAGATTTGAAACCCCAAAATGCAACACTTTATTGAATGCTTGTAAATAAGTGAACAAAAATATCCACTATATTTTCAAAATAATTATCCCGTACAGTCATTATTGCACAACATTTATAACAAACTGGATGCAGACAGAGGAATTATGGCCATGTATGTCAGTCACACTTGAAGCACACTAAAGAAATAACTCAGGAAGATGTATTGTTCTTCAAATCACAGAGTATTTCTAAATGTAGTGTTGGGACACAGATAATACTGAGCTTTCCCCTTTACTATACCTTTCAAGAGCTTGCCTGCAGAGAAACACGCATTTATCTGAAATGCACCTGACTGCACTTGACCAGTGTAATAAAATACATTCTGTCTTGGGTGCTTGCGTTAACTGTGGAATCGGATAAGAGACCTGCATAAATGAAAGAATAAAAATGGGATTAGCCACTGTCCTTGGAAAGAGAAACTGTAGAGACTGGGTCATGCAGCAGCTTCAGGAACTAGTTTCAATACTTTCACTGAAAGAATCACTCACTTCCTGACAAAAACTGACAGGAAAGCTTTACCAAAACATTACCCTGTAGCAAACCTCACCCCAAAAGGCAAACTATTTCTGTACCAGTCTACATGCTTAATTCTTCCCCATTCTCATGCTTCTGTCATTTTAATTCTAAAAACATAACACCGCAAAGGTGAGAGGCAGAAAAGTCACTGCTTTCTGAAACTCTTATGTTCTATAAATATCGTTTCAGCCTTTCAATAAAAGACAAAACATCATTTTTCTTTAGCTGACAAGCTTCAGAAAAATCTCAGACCCACTGAACCCAGTATAAAAAACAAATTTGATTCAAGTGTCTACTTTTATTATTTCATTTTGCCACAAACACTCCTTACTTGCAATATTTGACGTCGTATGTTCAACTGGAGGATTAGTACTAACTTGCCATGTTGTTTTAACTTCCTTCGGTCCGTGCCCGCTACTTATATCCACCTTCCACACATCTAGGGGACTGCTGAGAGAATACCAAAACCAGTGCAAATTCAGTCAGGTATTCAGTCACATCTCAATTTTAATGCTGCAAACATTGAAGGTTCTCTTACTCTTGATAGAACTTCTTGACAAGAACCGAGCTGATGGGCAGTTGAAACACATGCTTCTCATCTAGAGGGTTCTCTCTATAATATTTTATGCAGATTCTACAATAGAGAACAACTGGTTACTTTGGAGGAATGCTTGTGAGCCACTGAATAAACCTTGTATAACATGAACTATACTTTCAGATCTTATTATTTCCTTTCATTTCCAATTTTAGTCACAAAGCAAAACTTAGCAGGAAGATCCAGCTGCTCTTTCTGCAGTCTCATTATCATCAACATTAAGGAGGGCTGCTTTTTAAAGAGAGTGTCTTTACAACTGCTGAAAATAATCTATTTCTTAATTATCATTTCAAGAGCAAGAAGCAAAATGAAATAATTACTGTGTCAAAGGGAAGAGGTTCTCGTGTTTTAACTGAAGCAAGACTGTACAGCTGACCATTATTTCCAACATATGGTGAAGCTTTTGAACACGATGAACTTGTTCTTGTAAATCCACTGATGTGGAAATGAAGTAATCCTGGAACAGCAAAAAAGCTTTTGCTCTTAACTGGACACTCAATGTCTACAAGCACACAACACAGCCTCAGGATACTAAAATCATTTTCCTGCTTCTTTTGAGATGGAAAAATTTTAAGAACAGCCCAGCAGACTCAGAACTATGTTCCATGCTATCCATGTATGAGCAGAAGGTCTCTGTCCCGCCTGACAGCCACCTATATCAGATACCTAGGAAACCATATATGAATAACAAAACAACATTGACATTTCTGCAGTACATTGTCCTGTCTTCATTATTTGCAATTCAGTTTCTCAGCTTACAGGAATGATTGCATCCCCTCATCAGCTAAGCGTACTCTACACCGCTTTCAGAGCTAAAAAAAAAAATAATCTTACCAAGTATGTCAGTGTTGCAAGTTCCTGGCCTGTGAAATAAGCAGGGGAAAGAAAAAAAACAGAATTAAAACTTACTACATAGTGTCAGATGAAATAGAAATACCATTCAGGTAATCAAACAGGGAATTTTACCAAAGAAGAGTCACTAGGACTGCAACATTATTTATTGACATGATTACTCATTAAAGACAAGGAAAAAAACCTGTAAAGTGGCAAGGTAGGGGTGTTCTTTTACTTACAACCAATACTGCACAGTGAAGAAACCACATATTTCAAGATAACCCCTCTTCTTGGGACACACAGGTTTACAGATAGTGAAAACACAAAAGCAAGTGAAACAAAGAACGAAAAGAGGATGACAAGGCAAAAAAAAGTGAAGTGATAGGAAAAGAAAACGATTAATAACAATGTTAAAACACAAACTCCTCCTACAAATTCAGAAAAGCACCCCTGTCCTGGGTTCAGCAACTGCACCAGCTGCTAGGAAGAAGAAACATAACTTACAGCTGAATCCAGGCCAACCCCAAACCAAATTATAATACTGAAATACTCAGATCTCAATTTGAGAAAGCAGCACACAATTATACAGGTTATAGTTATTTTAAAACAAACTATTATTCTTTTTTAATTTTGCAGCCATATACAACTGCAAAGTACAATGACTAAAGGAAGCTGGAAACAGCCTTTCAGCAGATGGGAGCAGAAGCAAGATCAAGGTTACCCAAACCGTCATTATTTCCTGCACAGAATACCTCTCCTCTTGAATTTCTAACCATGTTAACAGCTACCAGGCTTACCTATGAAAAAATGGGCATAATCCTTCTTCATCTTATCCAAACCGATCTCCAAGAGCATTTGAATTGGAGTGATGCCAGTGAGAGAAACAGCCTCCATCTTTCCATGATAAGACTGTTGAATCAATTTGCTCAGCAAACTGCTACTCCCTTGATGAATCTGAAAATTAGAAAGGTTTTCTTGTGATGTAACTGTGTACAAGACAACATAATCATTAGTCAGAAGTATACCACCATGGACACAGAGGCAACCTGCAACACCTCAAAGTAATTTGAAACCAATACAACACAAATGAGGGGCAGTTAAGTGACAAGACCCATATTGTACTTCAACTCAAAACGTTAACATTTACTGTAAAATACAAGTACAAACTTATTGTGAAATACAAATACATACCCAGGGCTGTATCTTGCCACGTTCCAGGGATTCCAAGATCAGTGTGAAACACACTATCAACTCCTGATAGGAACTGACACCTTGAAGAAAAAAAGGGTTCAGTATTTTATCAATCCATAGAATTTCTTTTAAAAGGGTTACTCTAAAGAAACAGTACCAAAAGAGACCACTGAACTGCGTATGACTGCTGGAGAACAGCACACAGCAGAGGCAGATTGTCATAGAACACATTTTAGCTACATTCTCTCTATAGACATTGAAAATCAACACACTTCTATAAACTTAACCGAACAGTTGCTGCACTCAAAGGGAATGAATGCGATTTAAAAGACACATAAATCAATTCCTTGAATAGAAAGGAGTTATTATAATCTCTGGAACAGCTTAAAAGTTACTTCTGTTAAGTGATCTGAAAAAATAGTAATAATAGAAAAATATTTTATTGAGTGGTGTTACAAGAATGATATTTATATGCAGCTTTATCAACGTAAAAGATGTCCTTCAGGTCTAGAAAGACAATTTCTATAGCTTTCTGCTTTAAAGCACACGAGCGTTACTAATTGCTTTCTACCTTTTACAAATAAAAGGAAATACAATACCTGCTGCTAGGCATTGGTCTACCTTTTTATGTTGCAAGAAAGTAAATCCACTCACATGCCTAAAATTGGCTCTTTGAGGAAAAGACAAAACTGTTGATAATTTTCTGAAAAGCTCAGTCCTTAAAACTGAGAGAAATTCATATTCATTTCACTGAGAAAGCAACACAGAATAGCAGACACAGAGAACAGAAGAATCAATGGAAACCAGATGAGGCAAAACCCCACAATACACTTACATTTCATTTTGCACCATAACTGTTCAGCAAAATCCAGGTCTCTTCGCTCACTGAAGATTGATTTTATTGAACTGTCCACTGCCTCTGCGTCACATTGGATTTTCTGGAAAAGTTAGTTTGTCGTAAGTAAGACAGGATGTCTAAGTTTCAAAGGCCTTCGGAATTTAACTTCTCTCCAGAGATCAAAATTGGATGCATCGTATTTTTCTCCTTTTCCAAGGAAACTATCACCTAGAAACTACTCTGCATAGTAGTTTGGAAGCATATTTTTGTTTAAAACTGAGACTAATTCCATCCAGAATTATCACGTTGGATAATTGGTACCTTTGGATCAGGAAGTGAAGCCTACCATCAGAAAGGCTTTGGATCACAGCCAAGTAAAGCTCAACCAAACTGTCTAATAAAAACCTCTCAAGATGATCCTTTTCTCCTTACAATGACATGATGCATAGAGCATTGGTAAATAGCAACAATAGAGCCTAGCAAGCACTAGATCAGAACAACTATGCTACACTGAACTTACATGATTAAATAACTGTATGTACAACCAGCAGTGCCCCCGGAGACCAAAACGAATACATAAATAGGTTCTCCGAATAAAAAACTCTTCCTGTCATCCCCATCCCAATTATTTCTGGTTTAGCCAATACAAAATACATTCGATTTTTAGCTTATCAGTGATACTTAAGTTCCCTTTCAATAGGGAAAAGACCCAAATCTTTCCTTGTAGATTGAAAAGGAATCTGAATCGGAATTTCTCCATTGCTTTAGAGTATCATAAACCTCTAGATAAATAGGACAGATACCCCACTGATACCATTAAATTGGCTCAAATGCATTACATCAGTCAAGAAAAGCAAATTAATGATAGAACATAAATACTATATATTATAGAAGATATTACACAAGTCAAAATTTGCAGTAACTACAGTTGTTATAAGGGTACCAAACTGACAATGTAATCAGTAGGAAATCAGATATACCTCCATTCCAACTCTGTTTCCAGACACACAACATCCATCCAGCTCCCTCTTTAAATCTAGTAGAGGAAAAAAATAAATTTCACCACTATGGAAGAAAAAAAAATATCATCTAACCAATCATCTTAATCCCCAGAAACATCATCCCAAACAAATACCCTGACCAAATGGCTAACAGACCAAATGTATCCATTTAGAAACTGGTTTTACTGGGCAAGGACATAGTCTGAAGATAGAATTTCTTAGTATTTATTACAAGCTCTGCATTCTCCCCATATACCTTTACTACATGCTATTATCTGAGTATTACCTTGTGAAGTGCCAGTGTGGAAGCAGTAAGGAGCAGCAGGTGGTCTGTTAAGTGTCTGGCTTTTTTCTACATGATTTCTCAGTTTTCATCTGGTTTATGTTTTGTCCAAGCTTAATCTACATACCAAAAACTTTACACTTGCATTTGAAAAGCTTCTGTATCCCTGCATCTGATTCCCTTGTTAGATTTGGTTTCTAGTATCTTAAACTACTGACAAGACACGCAGCCTTCACCACAGTTTTCAGAAGGAATCAGTCATTTTGGATGCTTTAAGACATCATCAAAATAGTTTTCCACCACCAAATGGACATTTAGCATATGTAGAAGCTCATGTGGAATTTCCTTTTGCTTCCGTGAAATGTGCCATCCCTCCCCTCCCCATCTCCCCATGTAACAAGCAGCAATTACCAGCCAGAAATGCCTGGACTAGATCAACAGCAGATTCAGGCTCTAATGGCTCAGGCCACTTGGTCACACCTGTCTTCAAACCTTCAGCCAAAGCCTAAAGGCAGCATGAACATTGAAACAACACAAATCAGTTCTTGTGTGAGGTTCTGCACATCATACTTCAAAAAGTACTTAAGGTCCCCAAGAATCACACATCTTTCTCTGTATAGCCAACCATGAACTCAGAAACTTGTTGAATTTCCTGGCTTGGGTGTTCATGAGTCCTCTTTGTATTCAAGGTTCCCAAAACTGAGCTTGAAGTTTATTCGAAAATAAAAGTTGCCTTTGAAATATCTGGTGAAGTATTAAATAAATTATTAACACATAAAAATCACCATTCTGTGTAAACCTAAAACTCAAACTTCTCACTTATACTCACAAGGAGAAACTGCAGTTCTCTGTATAGCTGATGCACAGGACTTCTGGGGTCCCCAAGCTCCAGGGCAATATTCTGAAAGTTCCAGGAAGTTTATGTCAGTGTCAAGCCTTAGAAAGCAACTGTCCTAAAACTGTCATTAGTGAAATGCATTCCAGCACCACTGGCAATTTAGACTCTAAACACTTGTTGCTTAGGTAGTCACTTTAGACTCTAAACACTATGTTGCTTAGGTAGTCGCACAAGTATCAAGAGTTAAGCTTATTTTCTATCCTTTACATGGCTTATGTCATGAGTAGTGTAAAGAGCTTGGGTTTGCTTGCTTCTTCCTTCTTGACTTACCAGTGTGGCAGCTGAAGTTAGTGGGGGTGTCTCCAGAATCTTATTAACAGTATTCCATGTAACATCAACACAGATATTGACTTCAGATTCTACAATTGTGTCCTCCAGTGCAGCAGCTCTGAGAAGTTCATACTGAGCAAATCCTTTTGTTGTCACCTAGGATGAACAGGTTTAAAAATCAAAAAAACTGCAACAATGGTTGGTTTGTATGCATGCAAAAATCACTTTAAAAGCATTTCACACACGCACAGAAAGGGCTAATATCAGAAAAATTCATTACAACACATAAAGCTCAAATGTTACTTCAGGAGAGACTTATATTATGGACTCATACTAAGGTGAGTTTCTAAGTAGAATCTATAAAGCTTCCCAAAACCAGCATCATAAATCCAAAACCAGAGTTTTAAAACTTAGACTGGAAACTTGACAGACCGTAAAAACTTACAACAGATGAACGATGCATTATTTTATGTTGCATTTTGAGCTCTTCCAGGTTTGCAAAACAGGTTTTATCGGCTGTAGGACCTAGGAAAAAAAAAAAAAAAAAGCAAACATTTGGCACAATTCAAATTTGCAACTTCTTTTTCCTTCCCCCACCCACCCTCCCTGACTTCTAAAGCAAGGCAGTACCAAGCCAACACCCCACAACAGACAACTGTGGCATTGCTACATTGATATCCCCACATTTTTAAGCCTTCCATATTTCATTATGTGTCATTATAACCTTACCATCACATGAAACCATATGCAAATTGATCCCCATGATTTTGCTTCCAGCTTTGAGAGGCTCAGCTCCAAGCCAACAGGTATGTTCAGGATCAGAACCATCACACCTTATCCAGAGGGGAGGAAGCACAACCACTTCACCTAGCTTCAAGTGGGTCATGTGTGGATTTTGAGCCATGGTAAACAAGGAAATCAACTGTCTGAAAATACAAATGGGGAAAAAACATAAGATGCCAGCAAATACAGATAAATCCAACCCTATGTAAAACTGAACCAGTGTTTCTCATGCTTTGTTAGCAGACATTAAATCATTCTGCAAAAAGAATGCAGTCTCATAATTCTCTTATTACAGCTCTCTTTGCTCTCCTACCCCCAGCCAGTCTCACTAACTTCCCAGGACAGCTCGCAAGTGCTCTCCCAACACCTGGAGTTCAGCTACTTTGTGGGAATACTATTAGCCAGGAGAGGCCATTTTACAACATGAAAAGTAGTCATATCTCCTCACTCAACTAATGCGTAGTTTAACTTGGGGGATTCAAAATAATACAGGATCTGAACATTGGGAAGAGAGACAAAAAAAATACGACATCCGATGACACTTACTTTGCTCTTCTGACAGAAAGAGGCACTGGTCCAGAATTCTCCTTTGGTAAAAGCACAGAGGCATCTGCTTTTGATTCTTCCATGGAGTCACTGTCTTCATTGGGTCTCTTTAACAGAAATAATTAGATATGTAAAAAAATGGAAGGTGTGTGAAAATACTTGATGGGACTCCAGAAGTGTGGATTAATCAACAACTAGCACATATACTTACTGCTTTCTGCAAAACATAAATCATAGTGTTTCCATGCCAAAATCTTTCAACGGGACTTTTGCAACTATCACCAATCAAACAGATCTCTACATCACTCTGAAAAAGAAAGCAGTTAAATTTTTTTAATACACTACATGTAAATGCTGCATTCCAGCACATTTTTCATACCAGAAACAGCAAAGTTAACTAATTCGACAAACTGTTTTCCAACCCTATTACAACTATTCACTTATCTGAGGCTGTCTGACTTCAGGAAAACACAGTTACTGCCTGCAGCTCTGGGAATGCAACAATTTTTTGCTCACCAATGTGTAAAATTTAATCCCTAGCAGGTTGATTCTATGAAAAGCTGAAGCTTGATTTGATGAACAAAACTTCAGATACCTGATAATATGAGGGATCCTTGTCGCAACTGCAGTTACATCTTGAGATGCAGAACACTCGTTTAAAGTGACATTAAATACCAATCACTTCTCTTAATGTCTCGTGAGAGCTCTAAACGATGTCTGGAGACATTAAATAGCTCAAGAATGAAGGAATATCAATCTGTCTTTGGGCTTTTCCATACGCAGAGAAGTATTGTTTGATTCTTTGTAACTAGTTTGGTTTTCATATTACTGTATACTTCTACAGCACCCGATTGATTTTCAAACTATTACCAAGCTCATATAAATTCCAAGATTTATACAACTAAATAGCACTGATGCTCTCCAGCCGTTCCTATGTTCCAAAAGCTATTAGAAGCATTTGCCATTTTCATACAGATAGCCCATTCCCTCTAAAAGTACTTAAATAAAAAGCACACCATCAGAAGCTGCAAGTTTGAGACATGAAAACACCACCCGAGGGCAGCCACTGCAGCAGCAGCTGTTTCCTCCCCACACAGCCCCACTGCGCACCTTCTGCACTCCACTGGGCCGCCAACCAGTGACACTCTCACTTGACCCGCACAGCCATTTTTAACGACTTAACTCCTATCAAGTACCGAGCAGCAGGTGGAACGCCGGAATGAGAACGGCAGAGAGGGGTGGCGGTGACCCGGAAGGGCGGCACCGAGACCCGCGTCTCTTCGCCCTGAGACAGGCGGATTTAGCCCGAAAATAGAGATGGATTTAAGAGGTGTCGCTGAGGTAAATTTTCGTTTTTACGCCATATTCTCACACATACCTCAGCCGCTAATCAATGGCTGAGCATTTTAAACAGACACAGTCAGTTTATGCTACTGTATTTTCATATATATGTTTACCTCAAAGAGAAATGGATGCTCAGGGATACTTTCCCTTCCTTCTTCATATATTCTGAAAGAAAATGTTAAAAGTACGTTAACACTTAATGTATATACATCTTTTTTCCTCAGCGTTCCTCATCAAACAGTAAACTGCATAAAAACAACACGGTCCTACAGAGCCCCTGCAGCCTCTCACACAAAACCCACTCGCTACCCCCACCTCAGCCACCCCCTCCCCTGCAAGCAGAGATGGCTGTTTTCGGCAGACTCACCGGAGCAGGCAGTGATACAGTCCGACAGCATCCTGACGCCGCTGCCCCACCGTCATGACTGCTGCCCGCCACAACCGAACTGCGCGCCTCGCCCGCCCCCCCGGCACTACATTTCTTTGAGGCAGGGTGACTCGTCACGCCGGATCCTTCCGCCAGAAAAGAATCCCTCTGTTTGAGAGGCGACTGAGAGCGACAGAGGCCTCCGGAGTGACAGAGCTCGGCATCGCATGTCGTGACATAGCCGAAGGGACTCAGGTAGAGGTTAAAGTAAGGGGCGGACTGGCGGAACGGCGGATGACAGTGGGGATAGGGTGCGGAAGAACATCGCTCATACTGAAGGGAGAGTAAAGTGCACTTCCTTTTCCGGTTGGGGCCTCGGCGAGACGGGCGGGAGCAAGATACGCTCCGCGCCGGCACCATGGTGAGGCGCAGGCCGAGGCAGCCAAGCGCGGTCGGGGCTGTCACTGAGGCGGGCGGTGGGTTCAGGCTGGTGGAAGCAGGCTGGTGGGAGCCAGGCCCGGCGAGCAGAGCTGTGCCGGGCCGTGCTGCGGGCAGCCTTAGGGCTGGAGGCGTGGGCCGGCCTGCCGGCCGCCATTTTGGAGCCGTCATCCGTCGGCTTTCCGCGTGGAGCCCGTGTGGGGAGGCCCGGCCGGGTGAAGGGGGCTCGGGGTGGGCGGCAGAGGGGATCGTGGCCGAAGGTTTGGCTTGGTCCGCTAAAACTCACACTTTCACGGTCCGTGTGGGGATGGGGCCTGTGTCGCCGCCTACCAGGGCTTTTCCTCACTTATCTCTCTGAAGGAGAACGAAGCCACACGGCAGTTTTGGCACCCACATGGAGTCAAAAGAGTAGTTTTTATAAGTATCTTTTGTTTCTACCTTTTTTGTTACTCCAAAACAGAACCATTTGGGTTGGAAGAGACCTTAAAGTTACCTAGTTCTAACCCCCTGCCACAGGCAGGGATTACCGAAGGTTACAAAATTGTTACCCAAAGATCCAGTTACAGATCAGTGGCACCCCAATGACTTGGAGATCTGTTGAACTTAAAACCTCAGGTATAGTTTTCTCGCTGTGTATTGTGCTGAGGAGTACTATGTTATGTGAAAATTATTGCTATGATGATGTAATTTGCGTCTTATCCAGTGCTCAGTGACAGTTGCCTGCTGTCAGCATGCTGGCACTGCTGAGCTGAAGACCCCTTCATTCTGAGCAATAGTGGATGGATGGGAATAGTGAATGCAAGAAACTTTACTTGTGCTTAATTGTGCATCCTTTTCCTTTCGCAGGCTTGTGCTCGCCCACTGATTACTGTGTACTCTGAGAAGGGGGAAGCACTGAGCAAGAATGTCACCCTGCCCGCTGTGTTCAAGGCTCCCATCCGCCCCGACGTTGTGAACTTCGTTCACACCAACCTGCGCAAGAACAACCGGCAGCCCTATGCTGTCAGTGAGCTTGCAGGTATGAATGGATGGGAACACTGGTGGTAGGCCTTGCCTGTGGTGTAGGTGGGCTAAAACTGAAACAGATCCAGAATGGAAATGACAAGTGCTGTCAGTGGGATTCTGTATAGGAGGTGCGATGAAAACCCATGTTTAATAATCCCTGCTCTGTGTTGAGACTTGCCTGAGGCATTTGTCAAGAAGAAACCTGTGCAGATGGCGTTTGTTAGAGTTGCTTCAGCAGCTTGTGGGTGCAGACACCCTCTGCTTCCCAAGAAATCTGTACTAGGAACATGCACTTATTGATGACAGTATTTCACATAAACATTTTAGCCTGCTAGGAACAGCAGTGCCCATTCCGATCTCCAACCCGAGGGCCAGGCTTAGAGATTAATATGTTAATGTACTTGATTATAATAAGCAGGTCTTTAACATGGTAAGAATTAATTACCCTGCTCTGATCAGGATTTGTTTTGCTGAAATGATGAGATTCCACTTCATTGGTCCGTGTTTCTGAAACACATGATAACAGTGGAAGTTCTGATGGCTGCTCCTGAATTCAGCTTGTCTGTGTTTGGGAAAACTCTGTTGTTACTATTCTAAATGAACATCTTTCTATTCCAGGTCATCAGACCAGTGCCGAATCCTGGGGCACTGGGAGAGCTGTTGCTCGTATTCCTCGAGTACGAGGGGGTGGAACTCACCGCTCTGGCCAGGGTGCCTTTGGAAACGTATCCTTTCATAGCTGTGTCCATCAAGCAGAACAATTAAGTATCTAAATAAAACAGAACCTTCTGCTTGAGGCAGTGGTAATCTACAGTGCATGACCAGGTTTAAGAAACCTGTGATGTGATTAGAACCTTCTGTATGCAGATCCGGCCTGGCTTTAATGAGCAGCAGCCCCCATTGATCCCCACTGCAGAAGGGGATGTTGTGCATCACATGGTGCCCTATCCTGCCATGATGTCGTAATTTGCGTCCTACTCTGTGCTGGGTGGCAGTTGCCTGCTGCCAAGTGTCCTGGTGCAGGTGGGTGACGAACACTTAACGCTGAGCAAGGATTCAAGTGCCACACTAGAGAGAAGCTTCATCAAGGTGATTCTTAACAGTCCATGCCTAGATGTGTCGTGGAGGCCGCATGTTTGCACCTACCAAGACTTGGCGGCGCTGGCACCGGAGGGTGAACACAACTCAAAAGCGTTATGCCATCTGCTCTGCCCTGGCAGCATCTGCTCTTCCAGCTCTCGTTATGTCCAAAGGTGGGAATACTGTCTCTGGAAAGGCTTTACCTTGCCTGAGCAGCAGCAGTGACTATGTGATTACTCAAAATGTTTCTCCTGCGTAACTAAATTTGCTTCTAAAGGGCTGAGAGACTGCCCCGTGTTCAGAGCGGAGTGGTTTGGTTAGATACAACGTGGGAGGACACTTTGCAGTTGTGCAGTGTTGGAAGTTAGAGCATGGGAAGGTGCTTTTCTTTGTGTTGCTGACACAAGTCTCTTGTGTTTATAAAAACTGCATTGGGACTCACATGGTAGTTCGGTTTGATTACTGCTCATGGAAGCCAAAGATTTGCTTAGTAGTTACTAAGGTACAGCAAGTTCTGCCCAAGGCAGGCATGTGAGACCCCACTGAGACTTCACTGCTGTAGTTACTGTGCCTGAGTATCAGATCATGAATTTAATTTCCACTTCTGATCATTTTGTACCATTTCTGCGCACACAAACCAATAACATGGAGAAACACTTGTGGCCAGGGTCAGTGGGTAACTCCCTGTCTTGTAAAACCCTCACTAGGCCATCGGATTGAGGAGATTCCAGAACTTCCTCTGGTTGTTGAAGATAAAGTTGAGAGTTACAAGAAAACCAAGGAAGCTGTTCTCCTTCTTAAGAAGCTTAAAGCTTGGAATGACATCAAAAAGGTGAGTTTATAAGGTGGTGTTTTGGAGGGAGACCCAGGTGATTAGACCCTGCAGTAGGAATCCATTCTCATCTCTGAAGAATGATGAACTCCTCACTGGTCCGTGTTGCAGATCCACAGTGATGATTGTGAAGTTCTGACTGAAGCCATTTGATTGTGCCTGACTGGTGGGGTTGAGACTCCATGGAATACTCACCTTGTTGCTTTTCCATAGGTTTATGCCTCCCAGCGGATGCGGGCCGGGAAGGGTAAGATGAGGAACCGCCGTCGCATCCAGCGCAGGGGACCCTGCATCATCTACAACGAGGACAATGGGATCATCAGAGCTTTCCGGAATATCCCAGGTAACTTTTAACTTCGGATGTGCCGACTCTTTGTTGGGAGACTGCCTGGAATGATGAGATTCCACTTCACTGGTCCGTGTTTCTGAAACACATGATTTTGTGGAAGTTCTGACTTGCTGAAGAAGCCTCTCTCTGTTTCTGTGGACTTCCCTGTCTGTTAAGAGTGTAGTCCTCCATCCCTTGATTTTAATCAAGCTGACGGGATCAGTTTGCCTGTTTTCCTGTAGGAATCACTCTCCTTGACGTGAACAAGCTGAACCTGCTCAGACTCGCTCCCGGGGGCCACGTTGGGCGTTTCTGCATTTGGACAGAAAGCGCATTCCGCAAGCTGGATGATCTGTACGGCACCTGGCGCAAAGCTGCCACGCTCAAGAGCGACTACAAGTGAGTGTGGACGGGACGGGATGGGAGAGTTCCAGATCCAGATGAGCTCTTAGGCAGAAGCTCTTCCCTGTGAGGGTGCTGAGGCGCTGGCACAGGGTGCCCAGAGAAGCTGTGGCTGCCCCATCCCTGGCAGTGCTCAAGGCCAGGTTGGACACGGGCTTGGAGCAAGCTGCTCTAGTGGAAGGTGTCCCTGCCCATGACAGGGGGCTGGAACTGGATGAGCTTTAAGGTCCCTTCCAACACAAACCAGTCTGGGATTCTGTGACTGATAGGATCAATGTTTGTTTCACAGCCTGCCCATGCACAAGATGACCAACACAGACATTGGAAGAATCATGAGAAGCCAGGAAATTCAGAAGGCCCTGCGTGCTCCAAAGTAAGGGATTTATCTATGAATGGGCAATTTCCCCAATTGCCTGAATCCCTCAGGTGGGAGGGCTGGGTTTATGTTACATTTTGGGTACAAATACAAGGAATTACAGTTCCTCAAACCTCAGTGAAACCTGAGCGGAATGTGGTTGTGGCCTTAGCTGGTGCTACATTATGGATGTGTTCTCCGCAGGAAGAAGATTCGCCGCAGGGTCCTGAAGAAGAACCCATTGAAGAATCTGAGAATCATGATCAAGTTGAACCCGTACGCCAAGACAATGCGGCGCAACACCATCCTGCGCCACGCACAGAACGTGAGTGCGCCGGGGCCGGGTGCAGCGGGGTCGGTACCTCGGGGATGCATCTTCATCATCTTGGTTTGTCTTTCTTTTTGCAGCATAAACTTAAGGAGGAGAAGAAAGCCAAGGCCAAGCTGGCAGCCAAGGGTCCGGCAGAGCCTGCAGCCAAGGCCCCTGCAGCCAAGACCCCCGCAGCCAAGGCCCCCGCAGCCAAGGCTCCTGCAAAGGCCAAGGCTGAAGCATGAGGAGGGCGGCTTCCCGCGGGAGCGTGCCCGGCTGTGTCCGGGATCACCGGCAATAAATCCTCTTGGAGCAGAGCGCTGGTGTCGTGTTCGGAGGGGATAGGATGGGGGGGGGGGGGATGTTGTCTTTCCCTACCGCCGCTGGAGCCGGGGTTTGTCCGTTTGCCGTTTTAATCGTGGGGCTGTGACCGGAAACGGCCGCACGGTGGCAGCCGCTGCCGGGAAACGTGCGAAGGGCGGTGTGGCTGCGCCTCCTCCGGCGCGCTAGGGGGCGCTGCGGCGTGGCGCGGTGACGTGGGCGGGGCGGGCTGTGTGGCGCGCGGCGGAAGATGCTGAGCCGGCTGCAGGAGCTGCGCAGGGAGGAGGAGACGCTGCTGCGCGTAAAGGCGGCGCTGCGCGAGCAGCTCACGCGGCTCAGGGTGCGCGGGGAAGGGGGAGCGGGACTGGGCCCGGGTGCGGCGGGGAGGGGGAGGACCCCGCGGCCCCGACACTGAGGGCGGCCGGGCCCGGCCCGGGGCGTGTCCGAGCTGCCGGAGGTCACGTGATCGGTGTGTGTGAGTACAGACACCGGGAGCGCGGGCAGAGCGGAGACCCGCGTTACACGGAGCTGAGGCAGGAGCTCTCCCCTGTGAGGGTGCTGAGGCGCTGGCACAGGGTGCCCAGAGAAGCTGTGGCTGCCCCATCCCTGGCAGTGCTCAAGGGCAGGTTGGACACAGGGGCTTGGAGCAAGCTGCTCTGCAACTGGATGAGCTTTAAGGCCCCTTCCAACACAAACACTCTGTGGTGTTACTGAGTCATTGCCGCAGAGGTGTCTGTGTTCCCGTGCTGCAGGTGGAGGAGCTGGCCCTGCAGTCCATGATCAGGTCCAGAGAGGAGAACGGGACCATCCCTTCCTCCACAGCAGCAGAGGAGGTTCAGAAGGTGAGGAAAGGCTTTGCAGGGGCAGAACAGGGGGGAGTTCCAGGGGTGGCACCGGGGTGACAGCGGTGCCTGTGTGAGCAGTTGGGGGGGCTGCGGTTCAGGTTCTTCTTGTTGACCTCGTTCACATGGCTTAGTGATTCTAGAACTGATTGTGACACTCTCACCATGACAGACTCTTGGGCAGATGGACAACGAGGCTGCCATCAACCAAACCGAGTTACACTTAAGTCTTCAAGATCATCGAGAGGAGGAAGAGGAGGAGGAGGAATCTGATTCTTGAGGGAAGAAAACCTGAGATGGTTTTCATACAGACTCAGGAGTTTCTGCCTCATTCACACTCACCATTTTGTCCTGTGCATGGATATGAACTGCAGGACACGAGGGCTGGTGCAGTTACACTTGAACATGTGAGTGTCATGTCACAGACATCAAATCAATGAACACTTGCTGTACAGACATGTAGCATAACCCCTTCCATATTTAAAACCTAATGTAGCTTACTGCATCCCTGGCTGGGGCTTGGAAAAGTCATTGAGTCACACTAATTTAACATGTATTGTGACCAGCAAGAGTTTGTCCTTATTTCCTGATGCTCAGAAATGAAACCAGGCCACAGAGGCTGGTGCTGACCCAGTGATTGTGTTGTGACCTCATCTGCCTCAGCTGGGAACTGGGAGGTGGGAAAAGCCATGTCCAGACCTCGCTCCAGGCTCTTGGCTTCCATGTTCTCACCCTCAGACACGTTCTGAGAACAGGGTTTATTCCTTCCCCTTTCTGTACCTCCTGGTGCTCTGCTGTATTGTCAGCTTGGACCAACACAGTGAAGTGTTTCCTACTTTGTGCTCTCTCAAACTAGCAGCCAAGAGCCTTGTATTCATCCACAAGCCGTACGTGCTGCTTGTAATAAGGAGCTAGTGCTTTTTGAGCACTGTTACTTTTTCCCTTAGCAACTTGTAAATAATACAGTTCCACCTTCTGCTTTCACGTGATCTTCAAGGAGGAGGCTGAGAACTTAGTTATAAAATGGGAAGTGAGTGCCCTCTCATTTGTTTAATGGCACAAAAAGCACTGTAACTGCTGCTCTTGGACAGACAAGATGCTTTTCCTCCTCATTTTATCCATTCTCTTTTAAAACACAGAAATCCAAACTCTGTTAAACTGGTTAAAAACAAACAATAAAAGTAATATCCTTACTCAGCCACTCTGGCAGCTGTCATTGTCACCAGCTGGTTGTGACTGCCCAAGGGGCTGTTGCTGGCTCTGCTATCACTCAGAGAAAACACCCTTGTGAAGCTTGCTTTTAAGAGCAGGAAAGGATTTGGGAATTGGTCGAGTATCCCAAGTGTGGTCAGAACCCAGGATTCCACCTTCCGTGAGCTGTTGCAGCTGTCTGAGGGAAGATGGGGTTTCTGGCTCTTCCTTGGTTTGTAGCTTCCTGGGGTGTCCTACCTGTACCTGGGCTTGCAGTGCTCATGTTAACATGTAAACTGGGGGTTCAGTCTCAAGCTGGCTGTTCACATATTGCACATTTCTATTACCAAACACTACAGAGTACTACTGTAACATCCCTGTGTGTTTGTGTGTGTAATTCACATGTAAAGCTCAGGACGTATTTAATTAAACACTACCCAGCCTTGGCACTACTAAAAAGTCACATTCAAAGGAGGAGCAGCTGAAAGAAGCCTCGGATGTGTCAGTGAGTCATTTCCTACTGTCAGTGGCTGAAGGGCTATTCTATCCCTCTCTGATACTTGATACTGTTGGCCAAGTGGAAGGTTACATCCAGAGAGATGGGGATTCCTTTTGGGAAAGAACTTCAGGTATTTCCTTCTCTGAAAGACCAAGGAGCTGAACTCTGGCTAGTGCTGCTCACCACAGCTGTTACATCTCCGTGCAGAGGACACACTCCTGGTTCTGTTGTACAGGAATGGCAGCAGGTGATGGAAGCTGGGCTTGTGAAGGAAAATAACCTGCAGAAATGAGCATTATATAGTGTAGTACCTGAAGCAATGAGTGCAGTGACAGATGCAGACAGGTAGGTCTGCCCTAGGCTGGGTGGATCACAATGTTCCCATGCCACAGCATCTCACACCCCGCCCAGGGGGGCCACAGCACTGAGCACTGAAGGCTGTACAAAGTTGTGCCAGTGACACAGACACAAGCTCTGCAGTGAGGCTTCTCTCCAACAGCCCTCAGAAACACAGGGAACAGGCTATATACAGAAAAAGAGTGTGTAAAACACACACACCTTCACGTTAAGGCTTTGGTTAAGGTCTTAAGTATAAGAGCATCAAGAAGTTATTTGATAATATATTTATTAAGAGAACCCATTGCTAAACATCTGAGAGAATAAAACAATAGAGGATCTTCATACACTTCAGACACTAAACACAGTTGTCATGAAACTTCAGGTTAGAAGAAAGCAAAACTGCCTGGATCTGTCTTGATTCTGTAGGACACGGCCAAGAACTAACTTTTAAAACTCAATCAGACATCACTAAACCCAAGTAGGATGATATGTTTTAAAAATAAATATAGAAATATGAACAAGTCTACAATTAGAATAGTGCCCTGGACGTTCCAAGAAATGCAGAGCTCTTCCCATCTAGACCTGTGAAGAGAGATCTCGGAACAAACATTGGAACCATCAGGCCTAACTTTCAGGTACAGTTTGACAGCAGCAGAAGCATGCTCGACAGATACAGGTTCAGGGCATCCCTAACCCTTTCTGCGTGGGAGATTAGGTAAGCATGATTGAAGTACCAACGATTTACAAAGGATCTTGATAAAGTTCAAACAGGCTGGGAGGAAACACCCTCAGTGATATCTTCATTAAGAAAGAATATCCATAATCACTTAAAATCAGCAAGCACTGGAACTTAGACATCTTACAGTTTGGTCAGTGAACGAATGTCATCCAATACGATACCAATTAGTTTATGACAAGGTTTAAAACCATTTGGCACATGCTATAAAGACATTCTTCCTTAAGAGGTGAAATACATGTTTGAACAGGTAGAAGCTGAGGAAAGAGGACCAAAATAGCATCGTTGTTAACAGATGTACAGGACAGGAGCAGCTCTTCTGCACTCAGACTCCAGCAGCATGTGTGGGGGTGCTTGGTTGGTTAAGGCCTATGGTTGAACAGAGCCACCCTGCAAAATCCACCTCCTCCGCTTCAGATCTCTTAATGAAAGCATGAATCTGAGCAGAGGAGAACATCATCAGTATTCAAGCACCCAAATCTGTTAAGTAATAGTTTGGAATAGCCTGCAATAGCATAAATCCAGTTTACTTTCAGTTTTCAAGCTAGCTATAAGATCTGCAAGCCACACAAAGCAAACGGGAGAGCTTTCCTGCAGGGTTCTGGAAATAGCCAGCATATGAAGTATACACGTGGCACAGTATTCCAGAGGAATGCTGCCTACACGATGCCTAGTGCACAATACTGACACCAAAGTATGCAATAAGGACGTGACTCAGCCACTTGAGATAATACTCTGGAAAATGTCTGCTTGTGCATAGAGAGGCTTCTTGTAATCAAAAGAGTCTGACTGCATTTTGTACCCTTATTGTACAACAGGATCACAGCAGGGGAACCTTGATTTTCTACAGCAGAATTTCAGTGCTAGAGTTACAGTTAAGGCCATGAAAGATCCAACAAAACTGGTAATGTCACTTCATGCAGAACAATTGCAGCATGTTTGGGTGTAGTAGTTCATAGTTTTTGCCAAGCCAAGCTGACACGAAGAATAAAATTTGCCTCTCTTTCAACAGTTGATTAAAATGCATTTAGCTACTCCATAAGCAAGTGATATCTTGTTCTCTTGTCCTCCTGAAAGTAATGGTCTATACACTTCATTATTGACTGATAAACCCAAGAAAGAGAATTCTTTTGCTCATTCACAGCATTAGGTCATCTACTTCTTGTCATTATCAGAGTCCCCAACCCACTGATTTTGGTCTCCTTGAAGTCCCTGTCCTGTGAGCTTGTGAAACCTGTAACCCCTTGAAAAGAAGCCCCAGAAAAGCAGCTGCTGCTAAAACTGTTTGGGCTGCTTATGTCAAGGGCCACAAATTATGCTTTAGGCCTCATACTCAGCTCCTGATCTTAGGGCAGGTGAGGAATCCGACCTGCATGGACAAGAGCTCTCAGTTCAAGTTCAGAGCTTTCACTTACCATCAGCTGCTTCAAGTCGGCTCTCTCAGCGGGATTTTTAATTAAACTAGGAAAACAGAAAGTGTTGCACAAATTACATGTATTATCTTGTAAAGATCAGGTTACATCATGCTGGTGTGCTGCTTTGGTCTAGGAAGATCCCACTCTAGATATAAGCATTAGGTAATGCAGTGCCTCAAACAAATCAGGGTCTGTACACGAGTCCCTTCTGTAGCTGCCACAGGTACAGTTTTAGGTATGAAGTCCTGAATTGCCTGGTACCTCTCCATGGGGGCAGCAGTGAGTGCCTATAACCAAGCTGGAGAGATCAAATTCCTATTTAAACAAAACCTCAACACTAGGAACTGCTTTCCCCCCAAGTTTCTTTTACCCAAGTCTTTTCAAGCTCTGTATCAAGTATGGCTGTTGCATTACTTTTCTTCCATTTGGTAGCAGTAAATATGTATATGTAGCTTCTACTAAATTAACTTCTCAAACTGTAACAAACTGCCTCCCTCAGGACTGACTATACTGGTTCAGTCCTGGTATCGCTTAAGTGCAACTGGACAAGTAAATCAGTGGGTAAACTGCTGCTGTGATTAAGTTGTTGGTTCAGTGAAACACTGGGAAAGAAAAAGACAAATATGTGGAGCCTGCAAGACTTGTGCATCACATGGAGCACTCATAGCAGAACACTGTGAAGGTTACTCTTAAAAGTAAGATCCTCCTTTGGAACTGTGGCATATGATCAGTCGTAAGTGCTAGGATGTCTTTGATGCTGAGAAATCTAAGTTGAATACCGCAGCAGAAATCATATCATAAGGAGGGAACATCTCTCAGCTTTGGGGTTCTCTTTGGATACATATGCTGTTAAGCTGATGCCTGCAGGATGAGCTTTAGGCACATTAGCAGTCAGAGAAAGAGGATTACACTAATTGAAATCACATTTACCATAGCCACAAGTAGGAACTGTCCTGGTTTTGGCTGGGATAGAGTTAATTTTCTTCCCAGTCTCTGGTGCAGCGCTGGCTTTAGTTTGAGAACAATGCTGATAACACACCATGTTTTAGTTTTCACTAAGTAGTGCTTACCCTGATCAAGGACTTCTCAATCTCATGCTCTGCCAGAGAAGAGAGGCGCAAGAAGCCAGGAGGGAGCAAAACCAGGAGAGCTGCCCTGAGCTAGCTAAAGTCTTATTCCATACCACAGACCATCATCCCAGTATATGAACTGGGAGAAGTTGGCCAGAAGGGGCTTCTTACTGCTCAGGGACAGGCAGGGTGGTGAGCAATTGTACTGAGCATCACTTGTTTGCTCACAGTGTTTATTCCTTCCTTTATTTCCTATTATATTTTATTTCAAATATTAAACTGTCTTATCTCAACACACAGGTTTTTACCCTTTTCTAATTCTCCTCCCCCTTCCACTGTAAGGTACTCAGCAAGGTACACTGCAGGGGTACCAGGTTACCAGGCAGGACTCTGCCAAGTTACTGATACATTAAGACAGCAGGGCTGATCCCAAGCGTGTAGCCAACTTAGCCACAGAAAAGGTACTCACCATTTGTTCACAAAATCTTGAAATTCAGAACCAAAAACACCATTGGGCAGTTTTGGAGGTGGCTAAAAAGAAATAGATCAGTCATTCAGCATAACTAATACATGGTGAACACAACCTACCTGGAGATCTACCAATTACACACCCTGTATCTGGGCAAGTTTACAATACAACCGTATTAGTACAAGTGCAAAGAGTTCATTACCTCGTTGACAATGTAATCAAGAAGCTCAAAGATTGCCATTGGGGGTCTGCTGTCTGGTCCATAGGCTAAGGAGAAATTGTAGAAGTAGAAAAGCACATGGTTACTCTCCTGTGGTAGGGGTGCTTGAAGATACTAACACCTTGAAGCTGACAGAAAAGGGTATTAGAAAAGCATGTATAAGCTGCTGTAACTTACAGCTCACTGGTCGACCAGGCGTCCTTTGCCGGGGTGAGGTCTCTGTGACTGGTGAATCTCCCTCTACAGGGCAGCCAAACA